AGTTTTAGGATTAAAAAACCTTGGAATACTTATATTCGAATCGATACCGGTCCATATAAAGTTATATGGATCGGTATCAGTCCGTATATACACTTGAACATCAGCTTTTTATTTTTTTTGTTATTTTGTTCTTAAGTCGTTTTATTCTTGTTTTAAACCGTAACATTCCGAATGTTTGCATACCAAAGTGGTTAACCTTAACAAAAAAAATTAATTTTATTTGCTTGTGGCTCCGAAAGGGCATTACGTAACATTATATCTAACAACCTTCAACTTATACGTTCGTAGTTTTGCAAAGATATTACTCCGTACTATCGTAAGATAATTTCAGGTAGACAATCGATGATTTTGTGGTTTCAAGAGACTGCAGGGTCGATGTATATACAATTGGTTTTTGCAGGAATGGATTTAGGACACGAGAAGATGGTAAGTCCTTAAATGAAAAGAATTAAAATGTGCATTGGGAGAAGTTTTTGGATTTTTTCTAGTATATTCGGACCAAAATCAGTCTAAAAAATGAAAAGCATGGAAGCTTTTGAATTTTTTGCATATATTCAGACCAAAATCGGTTCGTATAAATATTTATACTTAATTTAATTTAACTTTGGGATTAAAAATCCCTCAGAGTGCTTATATTCGAACCGATGACGGTCCGAATATACCTATAGGATCGGTATCGGTCCGTATATGCCCTGAACAGCAGATTTTTTATTTTGTTTTTTTTTCTAGGTTACGTTTGGTGAATTTTAATACTTAATTTAAAACCGGTCCGTATATATATTCATACTTAATTTAATTTAGCTTTAGGATTAAAAATCCCTTGGAGTGCCTATATTTGGACCGATGACGGTCTGGATATACCTATACGGATCGGTGTCGATTCGTATTTACCTTGAACAACAGCTTTTTTATTTTGTTTTTTTTTTCTATGTTACATTTGGTGAGTTTTAATACTTAATTTAAAATCGATCCGTATATATATTCATACTTAATTTAATTTAGTTTTAGGATTAAAAATCCCTCGGAGTTCCTATATTCGGACCGATGACGGTCCGTATATGCCCTGAACAGTAGCTTTTTTATTTTGTTTTTTTTTCTAGGTTACTTTTGGTAAACTTTAAAATTTTTCATGTATATATGTTTATTTTATTACATTTTTCAATTTTCTTTTATATTTATATATATTTTGTTTTTTGTTTTGTAGGAAATGTGAAGAATTTCAAGTAAAAG